AAGTGGTGCTGGCTCCTACCCTGGGGGTCTTTAAGACAAGGCTAGACGAACACCTTGCCGGGGTTGTTTGACCCCAGGACTCTTTCCTGCCATGGCAGGGGGTCAGACTTGATGATATGCTCAGGTCCCTTCCGACCCTACTAACTATGAAACCATATCTCAGGCCTCATCTACAACTACCTGGTTCTGCCAGCAGAAGTTGTGCCCAGTCAGCAGAGTGCATATATCTCTAGCAGCTATCTGCAGCTCTGCTGCTGCAGCTGTGTCTGGGAAAGTGCCGGCTGCTGATGGGACCACTAAAGCCCTGGGAGCGTCTACAGACACCCTCTGCTAGCTGCTAGACAGTGGCAGAAACCTTGTTGCACCCAGAGCAGGTAGCACAACTCAGCTGGCAGACAGGAGGCTTCTGTCACCATGTAGGAGCTTCCTATGTAGATGTACTCAAGGGTACAGGAGTTTAAGCTCGGTTTATTCCACCAAACAATTGTTTCTGCTCTTGAGAGGAGTGGCTCTTAATGCTGCCAAAGATGTCTTGTTCCTGTGAGTCCTTAGGCTATTACCCTTCAGGTCCAGACCGGACCAGGTTGGGCTCATCAAGGTCAGATTCTCAGGGCCACAGTTTTTTGCCTTGTCTCTTAACAACTTGCTGGTTTTTTGTGAGCCATTGTTTCTCTTCCTGCCGGGTGTTTTTCTGACAGCCCCTTAACTAAATCAACACACAGAGTTGGCAAACATCCTAATGATCAGGATAACATGCAGCATTCTTAACTTAATACAGAGCAGCTCCACATCTATTACACCGGGACATCCCTTAGTCTGATAGGTTTATATTGTTGGGTTTATTTCCTTTTCCTGTAGGGGAGAACAGTAGGGGGAAGCATTATACTTGATTCTTACCAGTGTTTTTAATTGCTCACATTCATGTGCACAGTATCCATTCCCATGGGGAAGGGAGTATCCTGGCATGAAATTGTATATTCCTGAGCTCCAGCTCTGGGCAAACACATTCATCACTGAAAATTGTTTATGACAAAACTGCTGATAGAGGCCTTCAACTGGCTATCATGGCACTATCATATGCTGTTGTAATATAACTTTATTTCAATTGCACTGCCAAAATAGGAATTGCATCTGTTTTTAAATGCCTATACTTGTGCCATTAATAAAACCAATTCTCTGCAAGCTTTTGCTTTTGCGAGTAATCCATTCTGGAAGGCAAAATGTAAGATCCAAGACTTTGCATGAATGAAGGTTTTACAGGATTAGGGGCTAAATTATTAAATCATGCTTAAAAATCAAAGGTGCTAGTCACCATTTAGTTGATTTTTTTTAACATTTTGTAAGTCGCTTGGAAAGTGAAACTGATCAACTTTTTTTTTTGGTGCTTCTTCAGCCCTTTTGGCAGCCTGGTGCTAATCTGTTTTGCTTGCAAAGGAATGTTAAATTTAAATGCAGCTTTCATCAGAACTCTTGGAAACATTTCAATTAATACAAACTGCAGTTTTATCCTGGGATTTTAATATCAAACCAACTTATTTCTCCCAACTTGTTATTGCTAATAAAGATTCTGCAAGCAAAATGGTGACTGATATGTCACTTCTACTGCCCTGTTCAAACACGGCCCTCCAGTTATAGTCCACTATCTCAGATTGTTTTCAGTGATCCACGACTATAACTGGTAGTACTCAGATATGTTCCCAGTTAAACCTGAGTGTCCTTTCTGCCTTGCCTTTGTAAGTTATATTGGTGTAACTATGGGCAAAACGTGCAGAATCATTAGTAGGAACTATGATGCATCTGAAGGAAAGAATCCAACTTGATGTTTGCATACTAAGTTGGGCTTGCAGGGCTCACAGTTTTAGGGGGAACGTCTCTTTATCTGTAAGATAAACAAGTAAACAAATTGGTAGTAAAAAGCCTACATATGACTTGTTCATTCGTTACTCTTCTAACCATATTTTCTTTAATCAGGCCACAAACAAGTGAAGAGCTCAAGGACTTGATTCTCAAGATGCTGGATAAAATTCCAGAAAGAAGGATAATGGTCCCTGAAATCAAGGTAAGGTGGATGTGCACATTTGGTTAAGATGATTTCATATTTCTTTTACATTTGTAGTGTGTCAAAACTGTTGCCTTGGAGGTTTATTAATTAGAAAAATGCAGTGGGTAAGCATATTCACTTTTCTACTTGTTTATAACAGTTTCATCACTGCTTGCTTTTTAAAAAAATATGAATAAAAGCTTGATGATGATACTTAAAATGGCTCAAAGTCTGGCTGGAACATTGGCATTCCTTCACAAACATCTCCTTCTTTCTTACCAATTGCTAGATCAAACCTATTAGCTGTAGCAGACATCAATGTGTGTTACAGTGACTATGAAGGCAAATAATACATGCTAATGCTTGTTGTGCTACTTGCTATAACGGCAGCAAAAGGATTAAGACATGTGGCACTCATTTCGATCCATGCTACAGCTTAGGAATTCAGAACAACAAATATCCCCAGTAAGAAAAAGAGTTCAATGCTGCTTTGTATCCTCTGCTTACCACTAGTATGTGCCACTACCATCCCCTGAGATGGTTCACTTGCCAAAAACTCCTGACTGCTCCAGAGAAATCCAGGAACATGCAACTCCTTCCATTGCTGGGTACCTTGTTTCTCCCTCCCAGGCCAAAAGACGTGAACTTTAAATTGTGCTGATGCCAACTGGGGTCAGCAGCAAGAGAAAGCTCCCCTGTGATCTTCAAATCCAGAAGAGAAGACTGTTTCTCTCTCTCCTTTCCCCACTCCCCAGGACTAAGGACAATGAGAAGGTGCTTGCTGCTCAGAAAAGTAACTGTAGAGACCCCCTCACAATTAAATCTTATAGGCACCACACTCCAAACAACAGAGTCTCATACTGAATTCTCCTTGCAGCTGCTCTGAGCTAAGATGAAGCAGTGGAAACTCCAGGGGATAATTATTAGAGCTGTGTGAAATTTCTGCAGCTGTTTCATTTCAGAGGTGTTTCGGGCCATTTCGGTGCCTGAAACACCAAATCCGAATTGAAATGAAGGCTCCAAAACAGCTCCAAAATGAATCAGAAGGCTCCAAAATGTTTTGGAAATGTTTTGGAGCTGGGCTTGCAGGGAAACAAAAACTAGGAAGAGGGAGGAAGGACTGCTCTGATATTGACATCTAGCTCCTGGTTCGATTTCCCAGCTCCTCTAATCATTTCCCCAGCTCTTCCCAGGGAGTGCGGGCCCCCGATCTGCGTGCGGGGTTTCAGCAGGCTGCCACTGCAAGCTGGGACCAGTGGCAGCTGTTTGGCGTAGTTCACACCAAGTGCCGGGAAGACTGCAGTGCTGCCGCTGGCTCCAGCCTGCAGCAGCAGCCTGCTGAAACCTGGCACACAGATCCGCCCCCGCCCCCCACCCCCGGGAAAAGCTGGGGAAAATGATCAGAGAGCTGGGGAATCAAACCAGGGGCTAGTCAATCCCTGTTGCACGACCTGGCTCCTCAGGGAGCAAAGATTTGTGCCAGGGTCTCTTCGCCACCATGGCCCCGCATTGGAGGGGCAGCGCGGGGTGGGCAGCAGCAGTGAGGAGACCCCTGGCATAGTTCTCTGTTCCCTGTGGAACCGAGTTGTGTGGCAGGGACTAGCAGGCTTGCTTGCCACTCTACGCTGCTTCCCTCACCCACGACACGGCGTGACAGGGATTGGAGATCCATGTGGGGGGTCTCCTTGCCTGCATGGAGGGCAGCGGCCCTCCCCGGACAAGCCACCCATGGCCCTGTCCTGCTCCTGGCTGGGGCCCTGCAGCCCCCAGCCCCAAGCTGTGCCTGGTTGGGTAGGGCTGTGCAAAGCTTCCCTTGCAGCCCGTTCGAAACAGATTCAGAGAAGATTGGGCGGAGCCAAGTCTCTGAAACAGATTCGGCCAAAATGAAACAGGACAGTGATCCGAAACACCGAAGAGAATCACTCTCCTCCAAAATGGCCGAATCAGAAACCAAATCGAAACACAGCCATTTCGCACAGCCCTAATAATTACCTCCACATGGGAACTCTAATACAGGAACCTATGCAAAGGATACCTGATCCAGAGCCCTGCTGAGACCATGCAGCCTGCTCAGAGCCTAATCTAGTCACCTGAAGGCTGCATGGATATTATGGAATATAAATACCGACTGATCATGCCTTCTTTTTAGGGATGCATCCCACGTGAGGCTGCTCTTTGTACAACTTTTTATGCTATTCAAAGATTTTTCTGCAAGGGGATCCTACACAGTGGCAGTAAGCTGCCTGCTGTCCCTGCCCCTTCAAGTCCATAGTTAGTTAAACATCTTGTCTTCAGTGCTTGGACACAGGCAGCATTGGTCCTGCATATGGTCAAGTACATAAATGTTAGTATGTTGTTAAATTAACTCCGGCAGAGACTGCAGGCACTTGCCTGATTTCTCTCTGCTAAACAGGAATTATTTCCCCTGCGCCTCTGCCTTACGCAGACACCTCAGCATTAACTAGCAGACCATGTGCTGGCTACAGTCTGTGCTGTGGGAGACGATAAAGGCAGACAGGCTTTTTGGAGCTAATCAACAGGTAGCTTAATGTCCTTCCTTGGGAAAGCTGTTTAAGAAGAGCATGAACTAATGGGGAGAGGTTTTGTTTTTTTAATGGGTTGATAAACACAGAGTTAGCGGTGATAAACATTCCCTGCTGGGCTGCTGGGGAGGGCAGGGGGGGAACCATCCCTAATAAGAGCATTCTGGCCAGGGCCCAGCCATGCCCCCCTCAGCTCAGCACTATGGAAAGGAAGGGAGGGCTGCTCTAGCATTGCCCAGCTTCTAGCCTGAGCCACTGCAGGCATGTGCCTGAATTTTTTCAGTCCAAAGGGGATGTCTGTGTGGTTACAAGCCAGTTTTGCCTAGCCAGGTTAGACTAAGCTGCAAAGATTGAATCAATTCAGGCTCAGGCTTTTTGAATATCTGTCCCTAGCCAGGGAGTATATCCTTACCAAGGCCTTATCTCACCCTTTCCACACATACCTCCATAGTCTGTCCGTATCTGGCCCCTGGTGTGCTTTGTGTGAGGTAATCAAACTATTTACTTTAGCTGTCTGGAACCCCCTTGTCCCTCCACTCTCCCAGAGGCTTCTGCACGGGAAACAGATGACTGGAGAAATAGATGTGCACCTTAAGTTCTTTCTCCTGTCTACATATAACCCCCTTTGTAATATGCCAGTGCCTAAATTGCATTGCTGTGGCTCTAAAACTGATCATCCCTGGAGCGCTAGGGCTGCTTACAGTTGTCAAAAAACAAAACACTTTACTTTAAACTCAGTGCTCTACCGCACCAAGCCCAGTGCATGCCCAGAAGAGGCATTAGTTGGACCCAGCTTGCCCAATGTGTATATAGATCAGGCACTTTAGTGGGGCTTTTTTGGCACATTTATCTAGTAGCTGATTGAATAAGCTTTAGATGAAAAGCACCAAAAAGCCCCACTAAAGCACCGAATCCACACGGACACTGCAGAGCTGGGTCGAACTAACATGCTGCTGCTTCCAGTAAAGCACATTTTTTGGTTTTGGTTTTTTTTTCCCCCACATCTATCAGCAACCCAGAAGATGTAACACCCCCATGAAACTAAGGAAGTTGATGCCTCATGGGACAAGCAAAGTCAGTGTGGCATTTTTACAAGCAGTTTGTTTAATGCAGAAGTGTCTCATGTATTGGGAAAGGATTTAGTAGATAGAGCTTTGTCCTGTGAGCTTAACAACCAGCCAGGTCCAGGAAAACACTGGAATCCACAGTAAAGGATTTAGGACCGCCTGAGGATTTAGGGCAGAGGCTCATGCATCTCACAGAGATGTGATGCATTTTTCTCCCTTGACCATAAAATTACTGGACTGAGATTTTCCCTAATTGAGGGGAGCCACTTTCACGGGGGTATTAAATACTATAGTTGGCACAAAGGAGCCTTCAATTGACTCTTAGCACATCAGGCAAAAGACAAGAGAAAGAAATTTAATACCTTGCAGCTTTTAGTCTCATTTCAAGATGTTTATAAAGAAGGAAACTGACCTCTTCCTCGAGTCCAGTACATCACTCATCATTTTTGAGAGCAGCCATGGTAACAAAGCAAATGATCTTACAAAGCCAGAGGAGAAATCATTGCACAGAGCAGAACAATAGTAGCCCAACTTAGCAGCCACCTTCTGGCTCAGGGGTCAGTAACTGACTTTTGAAAGTATTTGGACTCTCCATATAGAAACACTGGCTAAAGAAACGCATCCAGTCCTCCCACCCTTCCCTTTCTCCCCCTTTCTTCCCTCTGCTTTCACTCTTCCTTATCTCTACTTGGCCTTTCATCTCTCCCCCAACATTGGTTGTAAAGTACTATAACAAGGTTATTAAAATGGTTTTGGAGCATGGATGCTAATTCTGTGATGTATATCATCATCTGTAATTTCAAGTTGATCATCTTGATTCTTTTGTTTGCTTTTTGTGTTGTGGTCTTCATATTGAAGTATAAAAAATGACAATATTCTTGACAATTAAAAAAAAAAGAATAAAAGAAGCAGAAAAATGGAAGTGGAACAAAGGGGAACTGGGCTGAATATCTACCCACTCCCTTGTTTAAGGCTCAAAGTGTCATGCTTGGTGTTCGTAGCTATTTAGCTTATATTGTTTTACAAAATCAGTTCGGAATTGCTCTTGAAAAATCAATCAAATTGTATGGAGGGGTGGGGGGAATGAGGACATTATTGCTTTTCAGTCACCTTGCTGCATAGGTGATGCATGAGTGTTGACAGTGGAGTGGGGGGGGGCACAACTGCACGCTGCCACCGCCACCCTCACTGCTGCTGAGCACTGGCTCTTGCATGGTTGCAGCCCCTTACCCCACGCCTCACTGTCAGTGCAAAACTCTGGGGGTGGGGGGGAATCCTTCCCCTCCACACCATGGCCCCCTCACACATTGTCTATGCCTTGCTGCATAGAATACATGACATTTCTCTCCTAATGGAAATGCACACAAAACTGAGGTATTGCATAGTTATAGTCAAGTGATTTCATTTAAGGCTAATGTGGTATTTTGCCTCTGAAGAGGGTTGTTATAAGTACAATTAATCATCTTTGGAATACACAATTTAATTAAGTGCCATAAAGAATCTCTTTGCAAGGTCCTTGAAGAGTGCTTCGGACACCTGCACCAAACTCATTTTAACATTTTCTAGGCAATAAACGTCGTTCCCAGTAAATACTGCAGACTAAATCCCCCAAGAGGTAGGCAAGCCTTGGATGCTTGGAGGCTCTTCTTATTAATACTTTTTCAGCCAGCACCTGGATAAAATATTGGTATCAGAGCCCTGTGTTTATCCAGAAGGTCCCTTGTATTATGCAGTACATTAGACCATAATTAATACCTCCAGTGTCTGTGGCAGCACTGATTTACATGATATGATGCCTGCTAATTAATTACAAGCTCATCTAATAAGCTATATGCTTATTTAAACTGGGGGAGCAACTAGCTTCCTGGCCTTGTGGGAGATGCGCCAGTAGGTGCAGCTGTTACCTTATGCTCCAAAGCCACGTCAGAACACAATTTACCCCTCTGGCATTCAGTATCTTAGGGAGAGAGACCCCAGTCTTTGACAAGATGCTTCCTACTCTCTCTCATATGTCCTGTGTAACCCCTGGCTTCTGCCCCTGCCACTGCTTGCTCTCTTACCAAACAGTCTCCCAGGCTGCTGCTTAGGCAGTCTCCTGTGGAAATTCTCTAATGGGTAAACAGTGGAACAGATGGAAGAAAATTTGCCCTGTTTTTCATCCACATCATATATGAAAGTGTATGCAGTGTCTAGTCAGACAGGCATGCTGTTTGCACAGTTGCATGACAGTGTTATGGAGAGGCCTCCCCATGAAACTGAGGCCCTGCTACACATTCAAGTTAAAGCTGGATGGAAACCAGCTATAGAGTCATTGTGCGTTTTCAAGTTCTAACTTTATAGTGGATTAGCTCTTTTTATAGCTGGATAGACATTTTTATCATATGGTAATTACTGTGCGTGTGTGGCTGGTCCACATTTATTATACGGTCAACCAGTTAATTATGTGATAATTACTTTGCACTTGTGGCTGGTCTTACTTTGCATGTGTGGCCCATCTATATTTATTGCACAGTTAACCAGTTATACGTGTAAAGTGTAGCAGGGGCCTGAGATATTACAATAGTGCTAGGCCAGAACATCCAAAACTGGGTACCCAAAGTTAGACCTCTAAGTCTGTTTAGGTCCTTGAGTAATCGGCCTGATTTCCATAGGTACTGAGTACCTGTAGCTCCTGTTGGAGTCATTAGTTGTTGGGGGTGTTCAACACCAGCCCCCAAGTTAATCAGCCTCCCTCCTGCATGAAGTTCAGAGAAGCTTCCCTTAGTGGGGTTCTCTGCGGTTGTTCACAGCTCTCTTTGCATTCCTTTCCTGTGCAGTTGCACCCCTGGATAACGAAACTAGGGGAAGACCCACTGCCTCTGGAAGAAGATCACTGCACTGTGGTGGAGGTGACTGAGGAGGAGGTGAAGAACTCTGTCAAGACAATCCCAAGCTTGCCCACTGTGGTAGGTACAAACCGGAGCTTTCCTGGTGTGCACGCGTCTGCCTTTGAATCCTCAACAGGGATGGGAAGTTTTCAGCGCGTTGTATAAGTGTTTTGGCCATGTAATTAAGCTGGAGTTGTTTATCCCTCTGAGCTGGGCATTTACCTCAAGTGGATTACTAGTGTCACAGCTCTGTAATCCGTGCACGTGTGAGCAGCCCCATTGACGTCCAAGGGACTACTCAGATAAGAGCTGCAGGGTCATGCTCCAAGGTGACCATGGAAATTTTACAAAAGCAAATTGCCAGAGATAAGTAGCCCCAGTCCCAACAAGGTCACTCCCACTAGAAAGTATGAAGTAAGGGAGAGAAACAGCTTCTTGTTCATGTTTCCTGGGCAACTGTGCATGCATATAGACAAGGCAAGAAGCCGAGTAGGGGATCAAAAGATCCAGCAGACGAAGCTCAGAAAGTTGTTGACTGTATGTGGCATAACCCAGAGCCTCAAAGTGCATCAAGTCAGTGGGAGTCTTTCTGTTGAGTTCAGCGAGCTTTACATTAGCCGGTGTGTGCCAGGGCCAATTGTGGGAGTTGCCAATAGTGACAAAAAGTAATGGGTTTTGGGGGAATTTGTATATACTTTCAGGTCCAGATGTTGCAAAACTGAGCTTATCAGAGCTCTAGACATGAGGCTGTAGACATGAGGCAGTGTCTGTTGAATTGTATCCACCAGAAACAGCCTGGCTGGCTGAGCTAGAGAGCACAGTTTTATAGCTTTGAGTATGCCATTGTGATACTGACTGAAAAATTCTGATAACTATTGAAATATCACCTGTCATCTCAGTGAAGGGCTTGCCAGAGAAACAGGAAGAAAGGGAATAAAATGATGCAATGCCAGATTGGATGCCAACTGTCCCAGTACCATTTACTTTTCCTAATACTTCTTTATGCCACTGTATACCACAGACTGTTAATACAGCGTTTTGTTAGCGTGCTCTTGGCTGACTAGAATGACACTGTGATTTTTTTTTTCCATTTGTTTAAGATAAGCTTCTCCCTCCGGCTTTTCTTCAGGGCTTATCTTCACTGCAGTGTCAGTTCAAGGTGTGGTTTCAGTTTTGTCACTATCTAGATTCCCATCTACACGCCAAACTCTTTAAGTTGAGTTAAGCAGGGCTTTAGGCTCAAGCCAGCTAGCTCATCTGGGGGTATGGTTTGAAGATCAAATACTGCTGATACTAGTTCCAGCAATGCAATGGGGAAGCGGCTGCTCCAGTTCGAACAGCCTCCCAGCAGCTAATCCACTGGCTCTGTGCAATTCACATGGGCTCCCTATTAAAATTGATTAATAATTATTAATATTATTATTAATTAGAATGCTCGTTCACTTTCTAATTAGAACAGAGTCTGCTCCAGATTCTAATTAGAACGCTCCAGCGTTGCCTCACCGTCACATGTATTAAGCCCCCTTGCCCCTGCTTTTGAAAATAGCCATGGGGGCAGTTTAACTAAACCTCGCTGAATGAGCTTTAAAGCGCCCACATGGCCATTTTGAAATGCAGAGGGGCTTAATACACATGACAGAAAGCTGTTTAATTAGAACGGCTGTCTGGGAACTGCTCTAATTAAAACAGGCCCTCTCCTTGCCTCTTCTGAGCACATATATCGGCAGCCATGGTGTTTGGCACCGTGCGTTTTAAATCCCCACAGAGTAGAAGAGGACAAAAGCTGAACTTGGACCTGGAGCTAAATGTTGTGGTTAATTCATGTTTGTGGGGGGACTTAGCCAAGACTGCAAATTCAGGAGAAGGTGGTGTATTGTTCAGGGGGTATCTTATGCTGCCCAGGTTAACCCCACTATTAAGTGGGGTTGCACTGATAGAGATTTTTGAGGCTGATGCTGATAGCCAATTTTTAAGGCGGCATATCAGCTGATAACAATCCAATTTCTGATACAGCATGGAGAACTGCATGCAGCTGGTAAGCCTGTTGTGGTGAAAGGGGAGGGAAGAGGTGTAGGGGGGCAGATCAAGGCCTTTGTAGTGGGGGGTCGAGTAGAGCTGGGGCAGGTGCTGCCCAGCTGGGGCGGGACACGGGACAGAGCCACGGCTCATTCAGAGGGTAGTGGGGGAAGCTCCTGCTGCTGCACACACCCTGGGAGGGTGCAGGAGGGGGGAGGATGTGTGCCCCGCAAATCTGCATGGGGCAGGCTGGGGCTGCGGCTGGGCTAGGCTGTGCTGGGGGCGGGTGGTGATGGCAGTGCTGGGTGCGGGGCTACAGGGGGGGACAGCCACCCCAAAATTCGCCGTAGCCCCTCCAACCCTCCTGCTAACGCCACCTCTGTCTGCCCCGAGTGTAGCCTGGCCCAGCCCCCACCGAGAAAAGCCTGGTGCAGCCCCAGCCGCGCGTAGATCCAAGTCTCTGTCCCATGCCCACCCCGCCCTGGTTGGGCAGCGCCT